CTGAAGTGGCCTGCAGTACTGCACCCTAACCACTGCGCCACCTCGGCTCTTATAACATGTTAAGCTAATGTTTCACTAATTCTAGATGGCTGTTAAGAAGAGTCCTCTGGAGAAAGGGGTGCTTGGGTTTCAGATATTTGTCCTCTGGCATAAAAAGAGGCCAAGAAAAGGAAAGAGAGGCCTGCCATTATGGTGGGTGAACGAAAACCGGCAACTGACAAGGCAAAGTATGGCACAATGGACTGGGCCTAGATGAAGAAGAGACTGGCTAGCAATGCTTGAGGCATCCAGCTTGACTTAGTTTCCTGATCTATGGTATTTGGAGGGTCTTTTTATTTAGCATTTATTTAGCATTTAGCATTTATAGGGTCTTGGTCTACAAGCGTTTATTACACTGGAACTACCAGTATTGGGGGAGGAAGGGCACCACTATTCTTATCAGTAAAGTTCTGGGACTGACTTTAGCTACACAGACTCCTAGAATTGTCAAGTTGGAACAGACCACAAGGACCATCTAAGTCCAACCCTCTGGCCTATAGGTACTGGATTTTTCGAAGTTTAAGATGCACCTTTTTCCCTCAAAAAAGAGGGTGAAAATCTGGGTGCGTCTTATACACTGAATACAGCATTTTGGGCCTCCTGAAACCCCTCCCCCTTAGCAAAAATGGCCGTACATAGCCTTTAGGAGGCTTCCAGAGTGCTCCTGGGAGCTGGGGAGGGCAATAATGAGTGAAAAATGGGCCGTTTCTTGCTCATTTTTGCCCCCCCCAGCCTCCAGGAGCACTCTACAAGCCTCCTAAAGGCTATGCATGCCCCCTTTTTTTTGACAAAAAACGGGCCCATTTTCACGAAAAACAGGTAGTTTTTCGGGAGGTCTGCAGGGTACAAAAACTTTTTTTTAATTTGCCTCTTCAAAATCTTCATGTGTCTTATACTCTGAAAAATATGGTAATCTTCGACTTACATTCATTTAGTGACTGTTTGAAGTGACAGTAGAGCACTGATAAAAGCGGCTTATGACCAGTCCTTCCACTTACAACCACTGCAGCATTGCTCATGGTCAAAATTCACAATATGTGAATATGACATATGATATCATATGATATATATGACTGTAAAATAATTCCAAGGCTGAAAACATCCAAATCCATTCCAAGATCAAACCACCCCCAGTCCCCAGAACCGCTCTGACATTAGGCTGTTTCTAGTGACTACTGATACATTTTCTTATTAATCCTCCAGTGGGACTCAAACTCTCACATCCACCCTGATTTTACCAAGACCACCATGTGGCATTCAGTCTGAAAGAAGCCCAAATCACTCACCTTAGAAAATGGTCCTGCAAACCTCCACAAACCGTTAAATCCAAAACCTGCAAATGAACAGCAGCAGCGACGACAAAGAGAGAGTGGTTTTATTAGGAAAATGATGAGACTGACTGCTAAATAATCCGCAAGCATTCTTCCTTATTCTTTGGTTGAAGCCTGGTCTACACATCCTGATTCATCACTTTGATGCCTGCACCACCCCGTGAACCCATCAAGGAACTCACCAGTAGTGGGTTCTGGATCCCGTTACAACTAGTACGGTGCAACGGGGCCCGGCGTCCACCACATGAATGCGTGCGCATGCGTCCTTACCTCTTGCGACACCTCCACGATGCTCCAGCTGCTCGGCAGAGCATCACACAGGCGCTGTGCGCTCCGTGCGTGGAAGAGCCGAAGAGATCAAATACAGGTAAGGAGCTCGGGTGGGCGGGCGGGCCATCCGGAGCACCGTACCAGAATGGTACCCAGTGCTCTGGGCAGGCATTGGTACACCGGAACCGGGGCGTACTGCCTACAACCAACCACTGGAACTCACCCTTAAGGCCATAAGCACAATTGGCCTATCACCTCAGATCCCAGAACTCCATTCTATATCTGGAGGCTAGTCAACGGGTACAGATAATTCAGTGTATAGCGGACAAGGGAGATTCAATTCACAATTCTAACCCAGGTTGAGCGTGCAAAATGTAACATGCTTTTTAGCCACTGAAATAATGTGGTTTAACATTTTTAATGGTTCAGCTCTCTGTCCATTTATCATCAAAATCATAACTATTACTCCAACAATGTCTCAACCCCAGACATTTCCGATATGTATGCAATAAAATACAACACAGTAGTCTCATGCCTATGGCAGGAGCCATAAAACTAGTAAAATGCAATTGTTAAGGCATAAAGCCTATTTTAAATTAGCCCTGTATTTGCTTTCTTGCAGCCATTAAAATGGGAGGGAAGGAACAACTTGAAAGAAAGTGAAGGGAATTGAGACGGTGTGTGTGGGTGAGAGAGAGAGATAAATTCTTTTGAAATTCTCACTGAAGGGAAATCATTTTACTTTGTAGGTTAGTGGCATTGGTGTTGTTTTAAAACCCTCTGTTGCTTTTCTGTATTTTTTTTTACCAACCTTTCTTATAAAAAATTCTGCATGAAGGACAGTCACCATGAGGGAGTAAGTACCCAAAGGGCATTATTTTTAAATGTCAAAATGTAGCATTAGTACTCCTTGCCCATTAGTTTTAAGATCAGGCAATCCCTTTGCATCCCTTTCAAATGAAATTATGTGTCTTTTTGCAAAAGAAATCAGGAAATATTTGATGCAGTATTCATTTAAGCCAAGGCACACAAAACTGGAACGGACCATACAGGCCATGGATTCCAATTCTCCGTGGAGGAATATAAAGCCTTTTCAAGAGGTGACTCTCGGGCCTTCAGTGAAAGGGAGCCCACAAGCTCCCAGGATCAGGTGTTTCACTACTGTATCAAACTTCCTTCCCCCTCTCAAAAAGCAGAAGGGAGGGGGAAAATGTTAAAAAGTGCTGTTGGTCCAAATGGAGAATGAAAAAAAATCCATCTCTCAAACAACCTTTTGGTACAAATCATTTTACTATACAGTTTTCTTTTGAAAGGTAGCCTAAGGTATTGATGAGAGAGGTTTTTATATCAGCTCAGCTGATAAAGGAGGAGAACCTGTGGCTTAGTGGCTAACACTAAGTGTTCGCCCACATAACACCGATCCTCCGTGAGCTGCACTGGCTACCTGT